CAGTCTGCCTCATCCTGCAGCTTTGATATGCCTTGCAGAGCAAGGCTGCACACATAAGAATCATGACTCACTCTACCACTTAATGAGTGTGTGCATCATAATGTATCATCAGTGTGTGGTTCTGAGCCTGTGTGTACTCACCTAGCAGGGGAACTTTGTTCTGCAGAAGCTCAAAGTATCCCGAGGTGAGGATACCCACTGGGCTGCTGGGAGTGAAGCGTCCCTCCTTCACCAGTCGCTCACAGGTTCTCATTAATGTGGCAGAGAACTGAGATGGGTCGACCCCGTAGTCACGCCAACCACCTACGCCATCTGCAACACCTGATGGACAAAATGGGAAAATAACACTTTAATCTTGTTGTTGTTGATTTGGTGCTTAACCATCCCACCACCATTTTTGTCATACTAGGTGATGATGACGATGACTACCAATACACTGAAGAGCTGAAACCACAAAATCTAAATAATTTCAAGATTAACAAATAACTAAAATAATTGTTAGAAGGGCAGGGCAATAATACAATATAATAATTTATTGTCTTCCAATTACTTAATATTTTGAGAAATTGTTTTGCAACCTTCAACACCTTTTTAATTTCTTCTTAGATTAATCAAATTCCAGATTGGAACAGAAAGGAATGTGTAAGGGCACGAGGTAGATGATACTAGGAATTCACAAGGATCATATTGGATGACAGTATATGTTTAGTTTAAGTTCCAAAGCAATAAAAAAGTGGCAAGAACGAATTAAAATGCAGCTCTGCAACACCCAAACAAATTCTTGTTTACTTCTAAAAATAGATGTTCGAAATATCAGAGCTGTAGAACAAGGTAAAATGTTCATGACATGATTCACCAAAGCAACATTTTACAGTATTTCCTGTTATTTCATTTCAAGTGAGCATTGGAGCATGTTTCTGCTGTAATTCCCTGTTCACTCCACTAAAACCACATTTATCAACAAAAAGGACACAATAGATTATTGTAAGTGAAACGATAAATAAGGGTATTATTGATTAGTCTTTCAATAGGCTTTTTAAGGTTTCATTTTCTAATTGTAGTGCAGGTGTCAATCCCCTCAAATGAGAAACTGAAACACAAAATTACTATGGACCCCCTCTCTGCACTGCTGAACAATCGGACCAGTATCTGTCATGGTAACCCCCACCCCGGACCACTTCAGGAGTTTACTACAGATTTAACTACCATGCCAGCCCTGCTGGGGTTTTGTTTCTAAAGAGTCGTCTGATAGTACTTAACACCACAAGCTTAACGTGTAGGACTACACAATGCTTTAAACGGTTAAACATGTTGTTTAGGTGTCGACAAAGCCATGTGATTGAGCAAGTATTTCTCTGTGTTTATTCTCCTTTCACCTGGGCTATGAGGACAAAGCAAAATACCCTCAGCTGAAGCTAGCATGCTACTGATGCTAATAACAACATGGCTGCCTCCATGCTCAACCATTCTGACCTTTGCAAGACATTGTGGTGTTAAGTCTGAGACATTAAAATAACGGTGTTTTCACTCCTCTACACCTTTAATTAAGCTTATCTATGTCTCCTAATTTGATGCGTTTGATATTGTGAAGTACCGCCGCGAATTATCCAATTGAAGCCCATCTAGGTGAAAGGTCATCCGGGGTTTTTCTTAAAAACTACGCATTAACGTCACATAAGCGCAGTTTGTGAATAAAGAAAGATGACTTCACCTGCGTAGGTCTTATGTGACAATTTTTTTGCACGTTAACTTAATACAGCTAACACAATAGTGGCAATGGGGAGGAAGTTATGGCTGTGTTTTTGGAGGGGGTGGGGGTCGTATTATGATCTGAGCAGTCGCTTCACGTGCAGGCTAGCTTCACTGAAGGTCACCTGAGCAAAGAGGGTGTCTAATACAATACAATACAGCTTTATTTGTAAAGCACTGTAAAACCTCCAGACCAAAGTGCTGTACAGAGAAATAAATAAAAAAATCATACAGCTCACAAAACATAAGTACAAATACATGCTAGGTTCAAGGTTCAAGGTTCTTTATTGTCAATCTGACATAGCTACAGAGTAATTATGCAGTTGAAAATCTTATGTCACAGGCTTCTCCAACAATGCAACATAATAACATAACATAATAACAATAAGAGCAAGAGCAATACAAAAATAATAATAGTTATAAAAATGAAATAAAGTTATGATGTGGAATAGTGCAGTACTTTATTTCATTTTTATAACTATTATTATTTTTGTATTGCTAAGATGCATTGCAACCCTTTTAGTGCGTGTACGTTTGAATGTGTATGTTTATTGCCTTACCTAAGACATCGGCGTTCTTGTTGTGCGCAATGAAGCAGGCATCGTCTCCGTAGCACATCCCTTTCTTCAGGATCCCCTTACGAAAGTCTTTACCGAAGCCATAACTGGCGGAGATCAGGCTGTAGTCCCGAGTGTCCGCCTGAGACAGTCCGCCCAGGACAGCCCTGGCTACCAGTCTGCCATAAGACAGTACGGATAACATCCCCCAGCAAGCACCAAGTCCGTCTTGTTTTGAGCACAAACACGCAGTCTTCTCTCTCTCTCTCTCTCTCTCTCTCTCTGTACCCGGCCCGGGCCGCCTGCTGCTCGGCTACTTCTTCTGATCAATCCCCGGCTGGCTGTCTCTCTTCAACCGTCCATTCGCTTGCCACTCGCCCGCTTCAGTGAATTGGTAACGTACCCCCCCCCCCAGTTGCTAGCTCTACTTAACACGCCACCGTCTGCCCGGATTAGTTACGTTTCAGTTAATGTCTCAGGTGTATATTTCCATGGACGCAGTTCCTCCGCTAGGCTCTCTTCTTACCGACATCTTTCCACTGTGTACCGGAGGAAGCTGCGAGTACATACGGGTGCTTGACCTTTTACAACGACGTCACGACACCCCGGCGTTAGCCAATGACAGAGCATCCCGACAGAGCTGCGGTTACTGCTAAGGCTTCAGGTGTGCACTTGTTCTGTGTATCTGGACGTAACGGTGGACGTTCGCTGTTATTTTGATTACCTAATGTGTTAATACGGTTATTATATCTTTGAGATGTTATTAATGATAAGAAATGTAACTACCTTCTTATCAGACAGAAGTAGACCAATGACTAGACCATAGTGGGTTATTTTTTAACAATTCATTGTTGGGTACATAAAAGGATCTTTCACAAATACACAATTGTATTGTTTGTATACACCACATAGACTGTATATATAAAGGTATACACCATAGACTGTATATATAAAGGTATACACACACAAATAAGTGTGGGGTAGGCCTATATCATTATTGGAGTTGATAACGCCATATCATGCAAAATGCAATATTTTCATTATTTTACTATTAATGTTATCTTTTCATTGCAATGGCCCATTACCAAACAGTAAGCCATTTTTGTTTTTATATAGTGAAACAAATATCTTTGTAATATATTTTTTTCACTATATAATTACGTCATTCCAGAATTGGAGGACAATTTAGACACCAACATTTTTGAAAAATTAACCTTTTATTTTATTATTTTTTGTTATGTATTTAGGAAAAACAGATAATAAACCATCCAAAAAAGTGATTTGCCCAGCTAAGGCATCAAATGTACACTTTGTATTAGATGTTTTATTTGTTGTGTGCCATGCTTTGTGCAACCCTGTTACAAATACTCATTAAGCAGAAAAAAGTGTTTTCAAAAATATTCTTCAATAAATTCTTTACTATTAAGTAAAGAAAGTCACATTTACATTAAATACTCATGTAGTTTTTGGTAAAAATGGTTACATTTTATTATTTTAATAGAAAATGATAGAGTAACAGGGTTGACATTAGAGTAACAGGGTACTCCAGGTAAGGTAACAGGGTTGAATGGCTACATTACTTTTGATTGTAGATAATGACATACATGTGACAAATAAATACTCATGACAACAGAAATGTTGTTTGATAATATTTCATATATATTTTCCAATGAAGAATTAACCCTGTTACTCTAATTATAGTAACAGGGTTGGCTGCAAGTAACAGGGTTGCAAATCAATGCTAATTGTAGCTTTTATCGGAGGAATTAATGCTAGCTGCACAATGTAATGCTATTGTCAAGGAATGGACACACTTAGATATTTAACTACAGAAAGATACATTTGAAATTAATTTGTTTTTGTCTCATAATTTGAGTAACAGGGTTGCGTTTGTATGAGTGCCACACTCCTTTAAGAGTGACAAGATTGGAAATATATAAAAAAATAAAAGAGAGGACTTAGTTTTGGTCTATGGTAGTAGCACATGGCTTGCTGATGTCCTTTCCACTGTGTCATGTGACAAACAGTTTTTTCACTTCCTCTGCCAAGCTAAAAAGGTTTCGGTAACAAGGGGATTTTAGGGGATGTTCGAGAGATATTTGATATTTTAAATAATATTTTGAAACCACTTTTTCTACAACTGTATATGCATCTTGTCTCAAGACAAGTATATTTAACACAAGTGCATGTTTTAGATTTTTGGGCATGGCTTATTTGATTTTTTATATGTGGGACATGAAATGTCCTCCAATTCTGGCATGACCTAATAATTATTAAATAACAGTAGTTTTGTCTCAATTTCTTTAGTACTAAAAAAATAGAGACAAAACTACTGTTATTCAATAATTATTAGTAAAATTAGCAGGGATATTTCTATTGTAAAAAATATAACAAAACATTATAGTTAAATAAAACACATCTTTTCAGAATACTATGTTAATTCCAACACAAATATAAAATTATTTAAGAATAATGTATTTTTCTTGCAAATCCCTGAAATGAGTAAAACAAACATGCAACCTTACACAATAAGGAGAAAAACATGGGGTATAATCGATCAGTTAGTCACTGAAAGTAAAACATATCGGAAATTATGAATCTTGTTTTTTGTGTTTTTTTTGTCTCATGATGATCATTGCGTCACAGCGAACTGTCCCCGCCTCTATTGCCTCCAGGCTGCTTGCAGTACATCAAAACGAGCGCACCCAAACTAGGCAAAGCCACCCTTAGCCAGAGCTACCATAACGGAGCCGAGCGAGAGAGAGGACAACAACGTATTTCCACCGAATTAATATCCAAACCCACAAGAAAACCATTGGATCAGGGTAAGAAATACTTAATTAATAGAATACTCCATTATAATGATATTGAGATCTTTGTTGGTAGGCTGGATGGAATAAAAAGCGCCTGTATTATGACATGATGCAGCGTCAGTGGTCGTGTTTGAGCTAAAGGGCAGCATGTTAATTATGCAATGTTTGACTGTTTGAAAAATACAAACATTGTTTGGTCATAGTGGTTATGCGTGGCATATTGATTGAATTGATTTAGGCCTATTTCTTTATAGACATAATTTGATAAAAATGGGTGCTCCGCTTGAATGTCTTTGAAATTACGGTCTACTCTCAATTTCAGTGTAATAGGACTATCTTGTAATAAGAAAAAGATATGTGTTTAGCCTATACAAATAAATCCTGTGTGGCTCTCAATGCTAATTAAAAGGAATTTCTGGGCTATTTTACGTGTCAACCTGAACAGAGAAAGCGATGTTGTTTTCTCAATGCTTGATTATTTTTACGATCATTGCCGTAAAACACTTTTTCCCTTTAGGTCCATGATGGGAAGGTTGTGTGAGGTCGCTCTTCTGTCCCTTGTTGTTGTGTTTCTTCTAAACACTGAATCAACATGGGCTAAAAGGGGAAGCAGCAGCAGTGGAAGAAAAACGTCATCCACAAAAACACAATCTAAGCCACCATCTCAGCCAGCAAATTACCCTCGGCAGCCCCAGAATCCAAATAGAAACAGCAACCCATATCCTGCTGGCGGAAGTTATCCAGGAGCGGGCAAACCTAATCCAGGAGGAGTTCCCAGGCAAAACCCCCCGAATTATCCAGGAGTCGGTAGTAACCCAAACCAGCAGCCTGGTAGAGCCAATCCTGGTGGTTATCCAAACCAGAACCCTGCAGGTGGATATCCAGCTGGAGGTAATTATCCAGGCAACCAAAACCCAGCAAGAGGTTATCCAAATCAGAATCCAGCTGCAGGAGGCTACCCAGCAGCAGGAGGCCAATATCCAGGCAGAGCTGGCAACCCTGCAGGAGGATATCCTAACCAGCAGTATCCAGCTGCAGGAGGCTACCCAGTCCGAGGAGGAAATACAGGACAGGGTTATGGTCAGCCTCCTCCATATCCAGGTGGTGGTTATGGAGGTGGTGGGTATGGAGGCGGTGGTTATGGAGGCGGTTACCCAGGTGGAGCAGTCGGCGGTTACACCAACTGGAACCCAAATAATAAGATCCTCAGTCCCCGCTACGGTGGAGGAGGAGGATACGGTGGAGGATATGGTGGTGGAGGATACGGTGGTGGGATGGGAGGTGGGATGGGAGGCTCTCCTTTCTCCCGCTCTGTGAGTAATATGGGTTACCAGCCCCAATCTTCAGGTTTTGCCAAAAAAGCCATGATGGCGGCAGGCGTTGGTGCTGTGGCTGGAATGGCCGTTGGATATGGATTAGGGCGTTTCCCACGACCCCACTTCAATTTCCGCAACCCTCAAGAAGAGCAACAGTACAACAACTACATGTACCAAAAGTATGGCACAAAATCCACCGATGAAAAAGATTACGGCCGTGATTATGAGTACAAGCTTCCTCCACGCGCCGAGTCTTACGACAAGTTCATGGAGAGCTGCATGAATAAGACTGATCTTCTTAAAGACCAGGCAGGCGACCAGGATGATGGTGACACCGTCGGCATTGAGGAGATTGGATACCCAGCCCTAGTTGACCAGATGAAGTCCAGGCGATGTGTTGAGAAGTACATGGTGTACTCTGAGAGCTACCTGCAGGAACGAAAAAGAGCAGACCAGAGAATGGCAGAAAATAACAGCAGCCCTCCGAGCTTCGGGATGTTTCAACTTTTCACATCCCTCCTGATGCTTCTTTCCAGCATGCTCGTTCTCCAGTGAGAACCATTAGTGTTCCTGTTTCCATACCCCAAATGAATTTCTACATCCTCCATTAAATCTGCACGTCAACATACTACTTATGAATATCTTCTGGTCACATTTAGTCAATCCTCTATTATCCTCTATATGTGTATATAACCAAGTCAGTTATAAGAAGCAGCTATCAGTTTAAACTTCTACAGTTCGATCATTAGTTGTGTGTTGTACAAGCTGCACATTTTTTCTTGTCAATTCTCTCATGAAATAGTCTTGCATCTCTTTTTATTTTGCACTTTTTTACTCCACATTATTGCACAGATCAGTTTTTGTGACGATGTATTGTGACATCTTTTTAAATGCTACTGTATAAGATAGGAATATGACACTAAGGGTTTAAATTAGGTACACAAACATGCAACTAACATCATTCCACCATTAATACTTTTTTATTATCATACTGGGCAATTGGACAGACTGATATTTCAATTGGTTAAAATGCTTAATCAAAGGAAAATGTGTTTTCATGAAATATAAATGAATGTTTAAGCCAGGGTTAACTAACTTTTACAAGCTGTGTTTTCAAAGTAGTTTTCTGATTGTCATTGCAATGTGCTGGGGAGGTGATCACTTCCAAATAATGTAAGTTTGGTAATGGGAACAAACAGAGAGATAAATTATTCAGCTTATTATTTTTTTTTTAAAGCCCAAAAGAAGATATGTTATACCAGAAAGGAGAAATAAATGTCTGGTAATGGCCAGTGAGATGCATTTAAATGTCATAAAATAAGGAATGGGACATTTTGATTGGCCCTAATTGTGTTTGCAAATGAAATCAAGCTTCCCTTATGAACACGAAATTCTGTTAACCATAATGGAAAATGTTGAAGTGCATTTCCGTTTAGATAGATGGCTTACCATTACACACTCACATGTGGGCAGTCAGCGCAAGACTGAAGATGTCCCAAAAGCAAAGCCCCACCCTTCTCAGGAACATAAAACCTACAAATTGCTTCTGTGTCGCCTGTAAATTCATGTTCTGCATGTTTTAGCCCTAGGCAGTCAGTGAGCATGAATCTTTCGATGTGCAGCGATTAGCGGTGAAGTGATGTGGCTTTCTGTCTGCAGCTGATGAGATCAATTTGTTGATCATTGCGTCTGATGCTTTAAAACTGTGCCGTGCTACATGCTGGGATTTGAGGTTTTGAAAAGATAATGTCTACAACAATTCAATACGTTCATCATAAATTCTGCCATCAAAGAAATAAGCTTTATATATGTAACCCTGCTCATTATACACAGTCTATTCACGTTGTTTGAATTTGGGATGTCCATGTTTCCAGGCTATCCATCTTCCCGCATTATAACAGTCACATTTTGGGTGTTGGCAGGTCTGTAAATACCTCTGTTGAATTTTCACAAATTCAAGCTTCCCCTGGCTTTTTATGATCTTTGACTCTTCAGGAATTAAACTTCTGCTCTGATTTTGCTCCCACTGTAAGTTTGTGTATTAGTAATTTCTCTTACTGTCCCAGTTTGTTTTATTACATCTGACAGTTTTAAATATGTCTGGTTTCTTGGTTTTATAATGCACTTTGTGATTATGTTTCAAAAGATTGTACTGTAAATGAAGTTTGCAGGATTAGGAAGGGAGTTTTCAACCAAGTAAATGTTCAGTTTATGGACAAAACTGTCCCTGTACAGTTCAGAGTATTGACAGTACTGTGTTCTGTCTGTTATTGGTATGTTAATCACGCTATGTTTAGTGTGTAGTAACCAAGAACATGAATTGAATACTGTCCAAATGTTGACAGTTTATCTGGAAGTGATATGCACTGTTGTATTGTGATTTATTTGTATTGTTTTGATCTCAGTTAGTTTGTTATCATACTGCTTTTTTTCCTTTTCTTGATTCTAGCAATGTTGATTATAAATTAATTTAACATTTTCATACTGTCTAGACTGTAGAATATCTGTAAAGTGCACTTATTTCACTTAGGTTTAGATATTCTGTAACTGTGTCACGGAGCTCATACAGGGAGTGCAGAGATCTAAATCTCCCAGTTTTGACTTGCAGTTGTTAACGCTTTGGATTACTAATATGATTTAATATTGTTTGTCATGGATGTTTATGTGTTAAATAAAATAAGTAACAAACTAAGGGTCTTTGTGTTAACGATATACCTTCACCCTGTCACATAACAATATCCTCTAACTAATTGAATATTATATCATAACATCATAGCATAGAAAACAAAGGAGGGATTAACTAATTATATTTTGTAACCGGTAGTTATTTGCAGTCCAGCTCTATTATAATAAGGCAAATATTTGTAATGCATGATTTATATGTTCTGTAAATGGGAAAAAGTTAAAAACAGCTGCAACAACTAGTCGCTATTCAGAAAGGTTTGATTTTTTTTTATAATTACCATATAAAAGCACCAAATGTCAATTCATACAGTTATTCTAATAGATACTCAGTCCCAAGTTATGTACTAAGAGATTGTTGGATGGCTTAAAAGTAGCGTGTGAGCGACTAATCATCCTGGAATCAGGCTGTAAAATATAACAGTACAATTAGGTTGCTGAAGCCTCAGGGACCTTAGCAACCTCATTTGACTGGAAAAGAATATTGCACAAAGAAGAATATTGTTTAAAATAGCTTTTATTTCATTTGGTTTAATGACTGAATGCTTTTCCTGTGATCAGACGTTGCTCAAAAGTCCCTGATCCAGGCTACTATCAGGAAGGACAACACATTCCCAAGTGTGATGCAGATGTTAGTGGTAGAAGCGGGGGCAGCTGACTTAACAAAGGCTCTCCAGAGGGAATGGTTGTGAAATCTCTGGTTTTCGTTGTGATGAGGCCGCTGATCATGCTCGGAAGAGGACGTCTTGTGGCCATGATGTTTCCCAGATCCGTGTTTTCCTTTACCAAAGAACCCCAGTCCGGTGCCGGTGCCTCCCAGCATCCCGGCTGCTGCTGCTGCTCCTGCCCACTTCAGGCCCTTCTTGGAGAGGCTTTTGCTTGGAGAGGAAGGCGCTTTATCATCATCATCATCACCTTTTCCACGACCTTTAAAGCCACGCTTACTGTTCACACCTGGGCACAGAGCTGCAGTGAGCAACAGCAAAACCCACAGCGAGAGAAGCTTCTGCTGGCCAATCATTACTGAAGATCTAAACAAATAAAAGAGTGGCAGGTGATTGGAGCCTGATCAAATAGAAATCCATATTGCTGTGTTTGTGTTTTTGCATAGGTTATTTATTCTTTTCTTTGAGAGACAAAGAGACTATTGTTAAGTCTGTTGGCTGACGTCCATACCAGCTTTTGATTGAGCTGGTTGCACATCAAAAGTCACATGCTCACCAGCACTAACACAACAGACATCCAGAACCATCCACATGCTCTGTCAACACTGGGCTCAGCTGGGCATTATGTGTGTGTGATGCATATTTCTCTCCTTTCCATGATCAATAGGTTTTTACGGTCTCAGATAAACATTGCAGAAGATAGTGTTGTACCAAAGTGGATATGCAACTCCATGTATCATGCCAATGCACCTGGAAGGAGATCATTGAAATCTTAAGTCACACAGGTCAAATGTAGTGATACCATCCACTTTGATGTTAATTAAAAACAATAAATAATGAACTTACCTTTCTGGTCGGAGGCAGTGATGTTGGAGCGGCAGTCCTTTTTCAAACCACAACGCTTGCCACACAGAAGAGCAGCATTTTGGTATCAGTATCATTTCTAAACAAACATCTACTCCACAGAGCAACACAGGCTCCTCCCCAAAACAAACCCCGCTTTGCCATTGGTCCAAGATCAATAATAAAGCAGGTTGAATGGTTTTAGCTGATGGTGGCAGTTCACATACAGTTGCAACACCTAGTCTTCTCCCATTATCCTCCAAATGCAAAGGCTGATGCCAAAACGAAACAATGATATTACAAAAAATGCCCCAAAGGGCTGTTCAAAATAAATACAAAATAAAGACAAAATACAAATATCATAGCACAAAAATGATAAAAAACATTATGAACAACTTCATGTGTATGTAAAACCAAACAGAAGTGATGCTAATGAAGATGGAAACTAGGTGATGGAAACTAGGTGACAAGGAAGACAGATGCGAAGAGATGTGTTTTGAGTTTGCTTTTATTAAAGGAATCAACGGAATTAGCTTCTCTGATCTGAATGGGACGACGTTCCAAAAGAGAGGTGCTCGGAAGGGAAAGGCTCTGCCACCTACTGAGGAATTGTGAATTCTGGGGATGGAAAGGAGACTGGGATTTTGGGATCGTGGGAACCTGGTAGATAGTCGCGGGGTAATTAACGATGAGCAATAGGGAGTGGCTAGTCCATGTAAGATTTTAAAGGTTAACAGTAAAATGTTGAAGTCTGATCTTATGTGAATCAGGAGCCAATGCAATGAAATGAGAACAGGGGTGATATGATCGACCAAAGACACTGATATTACTGTCTGTACTGAATAATTTTCGACCATGGTTCTGTGTGTTTGGATTTTCTTTTATACATTCCAATCAGACATGTTTACACCTGCACGAGTCTAATGCTCAGATTTTATTGAGTAAATAAACCTGTACCTCATAAACCTGACTGGACTTGCAGCTGGATTAACTTCACAGGAAGAGGATCAAAGATTCAACGCACAGTAGTGTTTTATATTAGGACAGTGAATCATTATCTCAACTGTAACAGGAGCCTAGTCAGACTTTGCTTTGCAGATTGAATATTGCTAGAAAAATGAATGGTTGGTTGACAAAAAAAAACATACCTAAATCCCAAATCCACTCAAAAAGATGTCCGCCTAATCATAACTAGCTGAACTATAACACAAATAAACAATACAGAGTCATTAATTAATTTGACTGTTGAAAGCATAGGAAATCTGACTTAAACTTTTAACCATATACCAGGAAAAGAATGAAGAAGGAAGGAAGAGATGTTGAGATGGGAATGAGAACGGGTTGCATCTTGAGTCTCCAGCGTCACAGTTTCTTAGTTGGAAAATAAATAACATTTTTGCTGTACTCAGAAGAAGAAGCTCAACAGCCAGCAGGGTTTAACCATTTTAACATTTTCTTTAGGAAATACCAAGACTGTGATGCTACACAGAAGTATGAGAGCAACACAGGACTTTGAATAAGGAAGATGATTGTTCAGAAAAAAACGAAACGCTAAAAATGGTGGGAATTTGTTTCAGGGTAAAATCAAAGAACGTCTGACTTGGACAATTTGTTCATTATCTTGTGTACAAAGGATTGACTCATTCGATTTGTTTGTGCGTGTAGCATGGAAGCAGGAGGTTGCATAGTACTTGGTTTTATTGATGTTTTGCAGCCGAACAGTTACATAACTTCAAATATAAGACGTCCGATGTAATCATGGCAAGATGTTGAGTTGTGCAAGACTGTTTATTCTGTAAATAATTAAGCCCCGCTTGCACACATCCCTGCTTTGTGTGTCGTGAAGATATTCAGTAGATCTTTCAGAATGTGAAGGTAGTTTATTTATTTCAGCAGGTTTTGCGTCAACATGTCAATGACAGGGTCACATTTAGGACACAACAATCTGTAGAACTCAAACATAAATATACTTTTTGTTTGTCTTCAATGTAGTTTGCATCACATGCTTTGTTGGGCATTCACTCATGCTCATCTGGTATGGTGACTTTTTTCACATTCCCTTCATGTACACAAAAACAATTGTCATGCAAAAAAACACTCGTGGTGATTTCTGCACACTTCTCTGCATAGAACAGTTGGACGGGAAAAGTAATAGTTGTTTCCACTGTGTGTTCAAATGAGTCAAATATGTTGCACGACCTGGTTTACCCTTTCCAGGAAGGATGAAGTGATTTCATTTGCAGCTGGAAGCGCTTTACTGATCCCCGTCTCTGAACAGAAATTAGATGACGTTCTCAAAGAGCTGCATGGAAGCCATAATGTTTTCATCCTGTTGAGAAAAGAAAGCAGATGGAAGAGAAAATGTGTTTGTTTGTGTTGAAAGCTGCATGAACTCACTCAGTTTGACTGGAGTTTTACCTTTTGACAGGTTTCTATGAACTCATCAATAGTCACCACGCCGTCTCTGTTCCGATCCATTTTCTGAAAAATGTCAGACATGGAAAGGAAATCAAGTGTACAATTATATTTATCTAAAGTACAACAGTGTGTCATAAAATGATAATGATGATCTGTGGTTTTAAAAGAGGTCCAGCCTTCAGACTGATTAAAAAAAACGGCTTTGTGTTATTTTCCCGCCAAATTAGATTACATTTTTCTAAAAGAGAGTGTCACTGGTCAAAAACCCTACAGTATACAGGTTCATTGACACACACTGTGACTTGATACAGTATAGGCCTACTGGATGTATTTACATTATTAAGCTTTGTGGCTGCATAGATAACAAACCTGGAAGAATCTCTCCACATGCTCATATGGAGAATCATCCCGTACACTGGGTAAGGTATATCTGCCCATCATGTCATAAATTGACGTCATTATTGCCATCATTTCCTGCAGGAAACCAGAGACACAGACAGAAATGAATACCCTGCAACACATTTGGTTTTGTTTTCCTGTTTGTTGAAGTTACCTCTTTTGTAACGTAGCCATCTTTGTTGATGTCGTAAAGGTTGAACGCCCATCGAAGTTTCTCTGTGACAGAGCCTCTTAGCAACACAGACAGTCCTATCACAAAATCCTGTAAAAACAATAAGACGTATTATTATTATAACCTCTCTTTTTGGTTTCTTCCACAAATATTCAGTCAGTGGTGCACTCACCTCAAACCGGATGGAGCCACTTCTGTCCATATCAAATGCTTGGAACAAGAAATGTGCATACGTGGTTGCGTCTGAGAACATAAAATGAATATACAATACACTTAAGAAAGATACTAGTTGTATACTGAGAATCAGATGCTTATATAACACCAGTTCATTAAATGAATACTGTACCTCCTTGAGGGAAGAACTGAGAGTAAATGCTTTTGAAAGTTTCCTCATCCACCAGCCCACTGGGACATTCCTGTGGAAGGAAATACAAGTTTACATAATTTAAGTCAGAGCGTACACTATTAATAATGAATTATATTTGAAATTACACAGTTAGAGTTATGTAATAACAAGAATAACAGACAATAATGGTTCATTAATGGCATTCTATAATTGTATTCTCCTGTGCAGTATCAGCCCCTGCCTGAAATGCAGATCTAATGTATGGCCACTAGAGGGCATAAAGAACTTAAAAGAAACTTCACTATTTATGGAAAATCTCTATGGAGGCCTTTGGTGCTTTTTTTGCAAAATAAATACCCACAATGCAGCTACCCCAGATTACTTCAGCAATGAAAAGCCTTAAGGCACATGTGTAAACTCTGGTGAGACAATTCCTTAAGTAAATCAAGGTAATGCAAGTAGTGCATGTAAAGGAAACAGTAACAGCCAGACAGAGAACATTAGATTTTGAAACTAAAATCTCTTAAAGGGCCCATGTCATGCTTTTCCGGTTATTACCCGTCCCCTTGTGTGTTATGAAAGTTGTTATGCATGTAAACGGTGTGCAGAGTCACAAACCCTCAAAGTACACCCTGTAGCGAGTAAAACTCTAACACAGAAAATACCTCCCCAAAACGCCTCGTTGGAGATACGTCATTGTCCATTTGATTCTTCCATTTCGTTCCGGGTACGGCATGATGTCAAGCCGTACCCGGAACGAAATGGACCAATCCGTGGAGCCGTTACGTTAAGCCCCCGCTGATTGGTCCAAATTGACCAATCCACGGACTTCCTCACACACACATCTGTGTGCAGGGAGCAGGCAGCTCAGCTGATTTCTCCTCCCTGGCTGCAGGCTGATAACAGACAGTTGGGATGGCGGCGAAATTCTCTCTGCAGACCCATTCTCACAGCGTTTATCAACCTTTTTCTTACTCAATATCAAGCCACACTTATTGTTTTTACTTCGGCTGTGACTTTGTGTGTGCTCAGGATGAGTTTGGCTGTGTTTGGCTGTGTATCGCTAACAAGGAAACAACACCTCCACGGAGTTCAGCGCGATTCACAACGTCCCGACCAATCAGAGCACACTGTGCTCACAGGGAGGGTGGGGGCTGGAGCTATTGGAGCTACAACGAGCCGTTAAAGGCAGAGAGTGAAATTCAGTGAATACACGTAGTTTACAGAGATGCTGTATGAGAAACCAATGTGAGTTTGGAAAATTGCACAATATAAATCTATTCTAGTAGACCTCAACAATGGAATTATGATCAGTGGAAATGGCCATGACATGGGCCCTTTAAAATGGCATTTTCCCATTAGATTTCACTTAGCAGAGCACCCAGAGCAAGTCCCCCTGTAGATATTTCATTACAGTTAGTTTACTCTGAAGGTCTCTTACCATTATGTGACGTTAAGGGCTCAGGAACGTGAAAACATTTGTTTATATTTAATTCCGATTTGTTAACATTAGCTTGCACTCTTCTCCTTCTCCTGTTTAAAGGCACATAATCGTCACTAACTGTCGATTCATTACCCATTGTTTTGTCAACAACGGTGCACTTCCAGCTCTTTAGAAACAGTGTTTGGGCAGGTAAAGGATATTATTTAGTTTAACATCTTGAACTTATTCCGTTGTAACGTCTACAGATAAATACTCACTTACTCAACTATACACATGCACACCATACATGCAGTGTGATTACTCGCCATCCAATATCCAAACATTTTGTGGATAGCCTGAAAAGTGGAGATTCATAGTAGCAGCATATTAATCCTAATTGTTTGGGAAATATGTTAAATAACCACATATGGGTAAATATTGGGCCGTCCACATCATTTTGGCGTCATATCTGGTGTAATGTAAATATAAATGTGTCTGCAAGCTTTATTCTGCTCAATGATTGATCCGCCTCAACTGGACCCCTGAGCCACCGTTACTGTTAACTAATGATTTTCGTTAAGATGAAGGCTCATCCTCTCTAATTAGATCCACTAGCGCTGACTGATTGTTTTCATACATTTTTAAAGCCTCTGTAGAGCGACTGGAGCTCCTTCCTGGTGAACTGTGTCTGGGCCTGGAGCTGATCGAGGCCCTCGGGCTGGTGACGCACCATGGAGAGTTCAAGTTCTCCGTCACAGCTGTCTGTCAGTGGGACACAGAGAAAATAGGGGGTGGGGTGGGAAATAAGGGGAAGAAAGAAAGAAGGAGGAAACAGGGGAAGGACAAGAAAGAAAGACCACAAAGGACAGGGAGAGGACGAGTTGAAAATACTAGAAAATCATAATAGATGGGAGGCAAAATATAAGTACAGAACATAACTCAAAATGCTCACCATCTGTACAGACCACATAGAAATTCAAAAAATAAAGAGGGATATGTAAGACAAGGAAGTGGGTAAGAGATACAAAACAAAATAGTTAGAAGAATGTACAGTATTGCTTCAATATGATAAAAACACACCAATGGTGTAAAATATTTAGGGACATTTTTTGATAAAGAAGATGACAAATATATTAGTTAGAGGAGCGTCTACTGTAGCTTGGAAAAATGAGGGTAGTTACGAAGAGGAAATAAGCATGAAATACAGTTGAAGTGGTGGAAGCAGTTCAAGGAATTGTTGACATCTTGGCTGTGTCCAAAATAACCCCCTCTTTCACTAAACCTCTTATTCCTTCATAATAACCACTCATTTATGTACTGTATAGTATGGAATGAATAGAGATTTTTTTACACAAATAAATATCATTTCTTGCCTGTAATTGACAAGTGTGCTACGACATAAACTTGAACACACATTTGAACAACAAATTGTTCTTAAACCTACATTTTTGCTATAGAAAAGGGGGGATTAATCATGAAGAAATAAGGCTGCCACAGGAAATACACAGACATACAATCTACATCTTTTTGGCTACTTTTTTTGTGACAATTCTGACATTTGGATAAATAAATGGACAGGAGAGAGGGATTTTAGACACATCCTCTGACTTGCTTTATAATCACAGGTTTTACTAATTAACATTGGTGACAATTCTGCAACATCACCTGAATACAAGGCAGCCATAATTCATATTAGTAACACCGTGTTTGACAAGTCTAGATGTCCAAAAGGGAATATGCATTATTCTATCAGCCAAAGGGACAGTCCATTTAGATAACAAATGAAGGGAAAGAAGTTTACAAAAGATAGCTGGGATTAAAATAAAAACCTTATTGATAATACCGGAATGAACACCTCAAGAAGTACTACTCACCATCTTTAAAGAAAGCACAACACAAAAGTTGACCAGCAAGAGATGGTGATGAAGGAAATGAAAGGGGGAAGAAGAAACTGTTAATGCTTAATCTCTAAAAGTTACACAAATATACCAACACAGTGAACACATTTAAAAAACAACAACAACATTAAGGTGAACATGCTATTATGTACGCTGAAAGAGTTTTTGGTTGCCTCAAATGTCCCAGGAGTAACAATTACAGCAACAAAAAATATTTCTATATACTTTATCCTTTCCTTTTGAAATCCATTATCCACATCCCTTTCATATTTGATGAACATATACAGCTGCCTTATGTGACTGCACTCACTTATAATTTAGCAACACAAATAAACAACTGGAAAGTTTTTACGATTTTTCTTCTTCAGAAAATCCCATGCAAAGGTCTCAACATCTTACCTTCGAGTGACAAGGGCTCCCAAACTCCAAACTGTTTGAGCACGACATAAAACAGCCCGATAACAACAGCAATGGCAATTACTTCCATGCCATCCATTCCCATTGTTGCCTTGCATTAGATACCGCCTGTGCAAAAGCCTTCCTCCTGCCACGTCAGGGCTTTTGTCCAGGATCACTTAAAAGAAACCCCTGACTTCAACCACTGACCAATAAAGCAAAAAATAGAATCCTCATTTGCCTGCAGAGCATCCTGGTTTGGATTAAAAGTCTGTCATGTGTGCAGAACAATTACAATCATAGAGTGTTAATCGACTTAAATGATCCAAAGCTTTCCAAAAATCCAACAGCTGGTGTTTTACCTCCTGGATAGTTCATTTTAGGATCTGTCCAACAACTCCATCAACTCAGGGGCTCCACCCCACACTCACTCCATCTCCTCTCTGTCCTGATCTGTGTGTTTGAGTGTGTGTGTTGGAGGTTTGTAGGGGCAGAAGGGGGTTGTTACTGAAGGAATTTCTTTACTAATAGTCCCTGATTGACAGTCTGTATTTGCTCAGTCATTTCAAGGATGCAAAGCTGTAAAACCAAGCATTGATCCACATCCGCTGATGGCTGGGATTTGAGCAGCACTTAGAAAGAAGAAGCCGGCCCTGCCCTGTGTGGCGCTGCTTGTTTCTCCTACGTCAATCAGCCGCACACATAGTGAATAACTCAGCAGGATTCACTTAAAGATGAAAAAAAACTGTGACTGTTAAACCGGTGCTTTGTTTACGACACTGTAGTTAAGCAAAGGGCAGTTCAATCTGTGCTGAACGATGAGCTGCACACCTTTGAGGTCAATAAGTAGCCTCTGTAAAATGCTCCTTACATGCTTACATGTTGGTCTAAAAGTACTTTTTGTTGTTGCAAAGGCACGAGTGAGGCTTTGTATTATTGTGTGCCGCCGGAGGACAATGTAAGTGTTTGAGAATAGTTCACAGCTGATGACTCTGCACAACATAATGGACTCAGTTAAAGTAGGAAAGGGGGGTGGAGGGCAAATCAATTGTTGAGAGATAAATATTGGTCTAAGAAGAGGGAGAGAAGGCAGGCCAGAAATGCATTTTGATTGCTGCCGATAGTTTATGTAAATAGCTTTGTACTTAATGTCTGAGTCAAACAGCTACGGTGCACTGATGAACTGGGTTGGTGCAATTTCCAAAAAAACAAAACACATTTGGCCGCGGCACACCACAAGAGCAGTGTAACAGCTGTATTTCAGAGGGAGATTTGATGTCGTAGTGCGTGATTGTTTGTGTTCTTTTGATAAAAGTTGTGTGTCATAAATCAAACAAGTTCCTAAGTTGCGTATATGGAAGAATAGTACTCATTGTTTTTTGTTTTTTTGTAAATTGTCAATAAATCACCCTACTAAAATACATTTAACAAAATAATAGCCTTCATTTTTCCCTAATATGCTTAATGTTGCCTTACACGAGTCAGAGGATTTAAACTGTGTTGATTGATCGTCTAGCTAACTAGTTATCCTTTACTTACAAACATAGATTTTTATAAAGTGTTTTTGATGTGTTGGTTAATCCTACCTCGACGGAGGAAACGCACTCGGCCATTAGAGAACATGCAAGATGTATGAGCTAATGTGGGAACTGGCCTAACATAAACAATAAGGCAGCAGTATAATGTTTAATGCAGCCTAAGTGCTGATCTACCCCCGTTCTTATATTAAATACAGCGAGGTGGCTTAAGCATGCAGAGATGCAGACAGTGCATCAGTTTCCCCCTCAGGCTTTAATGACTGTGGAGAGAGCATTACAGCTCAGAGCATTACAGCTCAGAGCATTACAGCTCAGAGCCTCAGCTCATCCATCAAACACCGTCACAGCTTCTCCTCTCAGGAAGAAACACCCGAAACTTCGCTCTCTCTCAGCCTCTTTCTTAGTGCATGCTTTTAGCGCTTTCATTGATTTGTATGCATTTTCTTTGTCAAGAAATGCTTTACATTGCATTTTTTCAAGGGGGATTACACCTGCCCTTCCATTGCCCAGTTTTCTTTTACTTTTTGTTTATTGAATTGTTTTTTCCATACTTTGCTCAATATACAAACTCATTTCTAACTTTTAAGTAAATTAGTTAAAAAAAATGCAGAAACTTGCCTTATCATATCCCTTAAATTCAAGAGCAGTTTTTGATGTAAATGAAAGGGAAGAAATAAATAAAAGAATAATGATGTTGCCCAGGTTTTATTAAACTTCCAATTGCCTTGTCAAACATAGTTTCAAAATGTGCATTGCTATCACGAATGACCTGAAGAACCATAAATGAAAATGGTAACCTCCATGCTAAATGCCATTGTATAGCAGCATTTCCATCATCAGGTGGCTACTAACATATTACCATACATTTTCTTTTAACAGTAAATAAGATTTGACAGAAAGCGCACAATCTTTACACTCTCTTTAAGCTGACCTCTAGCTTCCTCTCTAATACACATATTCAATAGAAAATGTGTAGGAGATGGAGCAGCAGCCACCATGAGAATGTGTTACTAAAATATTTGGCTCTTTCACACATTCCTGCAGAGAAAAGACATCTCGAACCCTGTAACAAACAAAGAAACTTCTCACAAATAAACGACATGCTTTTATTATTTCTCTGAGACCATCTCACTCTTGAGTTATAAGAGAGATTTAAAATCCCCCTTTAGACTGAAGACTTTAAAACAACAACAACAAACCAGTTCAACCTGGATTGTAAAGGTGTACCAGAGGGTTTCGATAATGTTTATTGTTGAGGTTAACTCTACTAGTAACAAACTTCTATTTCAAGTTATTAATCAGTGCATTTAATTAAATTAAACCAAAAGTAGATACAAAAGACACATAAGAAATGTCCCAGGTTGTTATGAATAAAACCCTAAAGGCTTGTAACAACTTGTACAACATTAAAGGTCACTTATTGTGCAAAATCCACTTTTCATGTCTTTTATACATAAACCTGTGTCCCCTCTGTGCAAAGAGATTCGGAAAGCTTCAGTAAAAAAAGGTCCCCTCTCTTTTTGTCCTGATCCATTTATATAAAAACCTGTCTGAAAATGAGCTGATCACATTTTGGCCACTTTGTGATGTCACAATGTTTTTTTTGGGTTGTGTAACCATTAGCCAATAACCAACCAAGGTAACCCCCCCCCCACCTTATCACCTGAATCTCCTCCTAGAGCACCGTTGTGTTTTTTTAAAACCAAACACATCACAAAGGGGCGTGGCCAGCAGCAGCTCATTAGTATTTAAAGCTACAGACACAGAATCAGCACTTTTGAAACAGGGCTGAAACAGAGGGGTTTATGGGACGCTACAATGCATGATCTGTTTGGTATTTCAGCCAAACACTTCAGAGACATGTTTTGTATATATCTGAGAACTATAATATATTTTTGAAAAAGAGTATAATAGAGGACCTTTAAAGTTAAAGTCCTAAAGCTGTAAATACAGCTATATATAGCCTACAGTATGTAATGGCAAAGTGAATACAAAAGTTCAACATCCTCTGCTAATCCTATGTGCTGCAGTTCTCACTTGCAAAATCAGAGAAACAATAATGTATGAATCACGTTTTAACATTACACAGCAATTCCATATTTTCCTGCACAATCTTATAACTATTAAGAATTTGTGTTGCATATTTTGCACTTGCATATATATCATATTGTTGTGCATGAGATACATTAAGGCTTGCGAGAGTGAGTGCAGACCATCTAGTCTTTTGTCGAACACTCAGGTGATACCATGTCTACACACCAGTAGATGGCGATCAAGTTGCTTTAAAGTTAAGGAGATATGCTTTAACAGTTAAAGGTGGGGTAGGTAAGTTTGAGAAACCGGCTCGAGATACACTTTTTGTTATATTCCATGGAATGCTCTTAACATCCCGATAGCAATGAATATCTTAAGTGCTTTGACAAAAAATCCATAAAAAAAATGTCATCTGTGGAAGCCGTAGTACTGTAAAAAGCACGACCAATCATTTTAGCCGGCCCGGCTAAAATAACTGGATGGCCTACCTGCCTGTCAGCCTTCCATCTGTGCACAAACTTATCTCGTGCCCTCATTGGTCATGTGTGCGTTCGTGTGTGTTGGAGGAGGGGCTCTGTAAGGAAGTCTGAAGGAAGGGGCAGATTTTTTCTGGTTGTGTATTTTCAAATTCTAGCGCATTCGAGCTGGTTTCTCCAAAATTACATAGGCCTACCCCACCTTCAACACATTATTTCATTTTAAAACGTAACCAATGGTCTAATGGATTCACATAATATTGAGAGTGAGAATACATACAGTATATTTTGGTTTGTTTGAGCAGAAGTTGAACTTTTACTTTACTACAGATATATTTAAAATCCTCATAAATACAAATCAAGACAAGTTTCCTGCTCCAAATTAGAGCTGAACAAAGTGTTATGATTAAAGTTTGAGTGGATGGTTTGTCAGCCCCCAGAGTATTAGTCATGCTCTGTTTTCATCAGTGTCCTGTCAGAGGCATGGCATCTGTGTGCTGGCAGAGAGAGAAGTCAGCAGTAAACGAGTCTGGATAACAAACAGCAGTCCTTTCTGGAAACACCAGCGGAGACATTCTGCCTGCTCATCACTGTGTTTGTTAACCAGGCTGATAAAAGATCAGAGGAGAAATGAATCACTATTTGTATGAATTTTAATTAGGGATTTGAGGTTATGGAAATGTACCGGGGGTTGTGATAAAAACACATTTGCAATAAGAGGAATGTGGTTATTATCGTTATCTGGATAATCATGAATGTGTGTGCCTTGAGAGCAATTGAGCCTGATTTAGGAAAAACAAACTAACACAATGTTGATATTTAAAATTACCTTTTTTACTTAGGTGAATGAAGACCTGCCCTCTTTCTTTATATCCCTCCTCGGGTCCCACTTTCTCTGCTGTCACATGATCATGCACATATTAAATTCACTGTATTGTTTGTGTAAGCCTGTGTGTGTACCTGGCCCTTGTTGCGTGGTGCTGGCAATGATCCACTTGACGAGACAACAATTCATCAGAGATTTGCGTGTGAGCCGTGGTTTCTGCCACTTGGAGCCCTCTGTCTGTCCACCAGGGTTCGGGTCCTTCCCGTTGGCATCAGGCAGCAGGCCGCCATCCACTGCCTTCCCATCTGCCTGGGGAAACACAGAGGAAGGTTAGTTTATTTATGTAGCACATACTGTATCATACACAATACATGCTTTACATAAGCATTAACACACAAATAAACACAAAGAAGACAATTCATTTAAGAAATAGGAGGTAGCTTAACATCACAAGGCAAATGCCCGACCACATTGCAAGCCACTCTTACTCGAAAAGGAGACACCAAGAGACACTTTTGCTCACCAAGTTCCTTGAGAATGTCTGTGCAACTTTAGCAACTTTTTGCCTCCCTTGTTCTCTCCTTTAATTTAAGTGAGACAAATAACTGACACATCTCACCAATTATTCAATGGATAATCAGAATATTTGATACAAATATGTTTAATAATATGGTGAAATGGAATAACAGCAGGTTGGTTTTGGATCTGCTTTCATAGCTTTCTATGGTGAAACGTAAAGCAAGGCTCTTGTCACGAGCGGACCAGCAGCAGGACATCAAGCCAAATGGTGAGTATGAATGAACAGATCAATACGTCAGTAATCAATACTTTAATCCTCCAACGCTGAAAAAAAAGGTCTCTCATACAGACTTTTCATTGACTCAAGCATATTTTAACCTTTAACAGTTAAGGGGGTGATAAAATAGTTATTTTGTACAGATTGGGAATGATTAAATATGCTTTAAATATGCATGGGTTCCAGAAAAAGAGAGAATATTGATATAATCTAGCATTCTTGTAACATGAGCAAATGAGCACTTATGAGAATAGGGACATAAAAGCCCTCTTGTTCACAGTTTTCCCCTCACCACATGACATGTTCTCATCTCACACAGGATGCACACTAAGTGTTTCTATATTTGGATACATATTTCAGTGATAATGAAGCCTTACATTTTTTTAATTGGTGATTTTTTCTACTGTAAAATTAACCAATGCTGAATGCTTTTGTTCCCATTTTAAATGTTGGTTTCACTGTGTTTTTCAGTCCCATATAATATGTGAATGTATTGCTACATGTTCAGCTTTTCAGAGGCTTCTTCCACCTTTATCTAAATAGTTCTTCAGAGCCATTTCTCTAAGTCAATCTTTTTTCTCTTTTCTTAATCCGTTTCTTTGTCTCTTCAAAGCCTTTTACTTACCCTTGATAAAGAGCTTTAAGGGGTTAAGAAGTGAGTATGTAGAGAGAGCTACTATCTGGGGATAGGCTCTGCCCCTCTGGTATACTATTTGAATATGAAAGGATGCCAGAGCATCGAGAAATGTCGCTCAATAATTCACACTCCTTAAAACTGCATCAATAAAAGATCAGAGATGGCTGGTGGTGAAAGATGACGAGTGAAACACTAAGTGATACTTGATGGACCCTCTGTCTGTAAGAACACACACAGGTTAGCGTAAACCTGTCAAGAAAGTTATAAAATATCAGTCAAACTAAATCATCTTTTGATTTTCTGTGACTGCATGTTGAGTAACTGCTGTAAAAGATCGGAGGAAGAGGAGGATTTGGGGTCTTAACATCCAGAGCGCTGCATTATTCAAAAGAGTGAAGCCATGTGAGCAGAGCAGGGAGACGCTGCCTGTGATCATCTAAGTCATCGCGCGCGCACGCGCACGCGCACGCGCACGCGCACACGCACACGCGCACACGCACACACACACACACACACACACACACACACACACACACACACACACACACACACACACACACACAACACACACACACACACACACACACACACACACACACACACACACACACACACACACACACACACACCACACACACACACCAACACCACACACATCACCACACACACACCACACACACACACACCACCACACACACACACACACCACACACACACACACACACACACACACTTTCCAAGAGATTATTTTCACCTTCTGGAGAAGTTGCAAAACTGAAATGCTGCTTGTTGCTTTGGATCTTTACAAACTGGTATCCTCTCTTAAACTCGTACTCTTTACCACCTGTGATGCTCGATTATGCACCGCCTGTCTCCAATATATAAATGACATCAGGTGCTCAAACATGCCTTGAAAAAATAAAGCATAAAAACTACTTGAACTCACTTCAATAACGACACTAACTAAGAATACATTCACTGTAAACAAAAAAGGCAAGAAAATGTATTTGTAACTATTAAATAATATAAAGCAATATATAGCTCCAACAAAGTGTTATCACTTAGGGTTATTGGTCAAAAACTCAACAAAACACTGAGTTTTATATTGACAATCTGCCTGAAGGTCGCTTTACATGAAGTGAATCTGCACTATATAATTATATTTAAAGTTTGAAATCTCCAGTTTCCACAAGTCCTAAGTCGAGTGCTTTAATTGTATGCTACTTTATACTTCACATTATATGATTATTTTTGGCTTGATGATTGTCTCACTTTTAAACGTCATGTCAATAACCTGCTAAAAAAACTGAGGGTTAGACTAGGTTTCTTCTACAGGAACAAGTCCTGTTTCTCGCTCGAGGCCAGAAAAAGGCTATATCACTGTGACCTTTTTACCTGTGCTGGACTATGGTGATCTGATTTATATGAATGCACTTGCCAATTGCCTGGTCAAGTTAGATGCTGCGTATCACAGTGCACTGAGATTTGTGACAAACTGTAAAGCATTAACTCATCACTGTACCCTGTATGCAAGGGCTGGTCTGCCTTCATTAACTGTACGGAGGCTCAGCCACTGGTACATTTTTATATATAAAGCCATGTTAGGGAAACTTCCATCCTACATCTGCTCCCTGATCTCACGGCGAATTGTAAGTGGCTACTGCCTGAGATCGCATGCTGTGGTTTTATTAAATGTGCCAACTGCTAGGACTGTCTTAGGGAAGATAGCATTTAGATACGCAGCTCCACTGTCCTGGAATATCTGCAATTAAAATGGAAACTGAGCAATCTGGTGCCACTAAATGTTTTTAAAGCTCGGTTGGATGCTACTGAATCGGAAGCTGTTGGTACCTGTGCATGTGGATAGTATGTAAATTGTAATCCCTGTAATGCTACTGTATGATGTCCTTTTGTTGTTCTGTTTATGTTTTTAATGTTTCATGTGGAACCTACTTGAGCAGGTCTCCCTTGAAAAAGAGATCAATGATCTCAATGGGATACAACCTGGATAAATAAAGGTTTGAAATGAAATGAAATGAAAATTATCATTCACATAGATACTACATTTCAGAGGGAAATATTGTACTTGTAATGTAAGATGTTATATTTTTAAATAACAGCATATAAAGTTATCTACTAGAAACATAGAACCGCTGCTTACGTTACTGCAATAATAATAAAGTCATCCAAATAGTATAAAATATACATGAACATTGAATGAGGCTATTTTGCATAATTATTTACTTTTGATTATATTTTACTTTTTTTAATTTAAAAGACATTACCAATGCAAATGCATGATTTTTACTTTTACTATTGTTGTATTGCATAGTCTACAGTGTACATACCTAAAGTAATTGAAAGTATTTCTTTCTCCAATGAAAATCTAAAAATCTCACCAAAAATGTATGATCCAAAGCTTTTGTTTTGTAATGTTCATTAATTGTTAAGTCTTTCTGTTGTTGATACATTATAAAGTACAAGTATCCCAGTAAGTAAGCTACAAAGTACCATAGCTATAAGCACACAAAATAATAAACCACATTCAGCATGCTAGTTTTCACAGCAATTATCCTTTTAAAGCATATTAATAAGTGATCATTGTACCTGCATTGCGTTTGGATGTGTGTTGCTGTTTTCGCAGAGTGACCTCGCTGCAATCCTTCTCGCTCGCGCTCCTCAGACGAAGTGATCAGCAGCAGCAGGGAGACGGAGAGACACAGAGATCTGGAGGAGGAGCAGAGCGTCTCCGAGTGCTGCGCTCACACTGCGAGACTAAACAACAATATTACAAAACAACAAACACAGCTACAGATTAACAAACGAACCTGATGTATCTGAGGATGAAAACATGATTCAGTCAGTGATCCTCAACAATTTATAGCGCGTCAGAAGGACTGAGGTGTGATGAGGTGTTCACATCGTGACACATTATTATTAGAAATGGCAGACAGATAATAACCTGCAGTGATGGTGTGTGAGTCCAAACTCAGACAGGCGCTAACAGTGTGACTCTGAGGAAATTAAAACATGATTGCTGTGTTTTATGGCTCTCCTTTGCTTTCTGTGTGATCCTGCTCAGATATGATATTAATAATAACAAAACAGGAGGATTCATATATTATGAGATTTACAGTCCCATCAACAGACAAGCATATCTTGCAGGCTTTACAAAAAATCTAGTTTATTCTAAGGGGATGAACTGTAAACGTTCTATTAGGACAAGGTATACAGCATTTGCAACAGTGTGTAATCATGCAAATCTGTATTTTCTACAAATGCAGAAAAATAATCTTCCCTAACAAGTCTTATTAAAGGTGGGGTAGGTAAGTTTGAGAAACCGGCTCGAGATACACTTTTTGTTATATTCCATGGAATGCTCTTAACATCCCGATAGCAATGAATATCTTAAGTGCTTTGACAAAAAATCCATGAATAAAATGTCATCTGTGGAAGCCGTAGTACTGTAAAAAGTACGACCAATCATTTTAGCCGGCCCGGCTAAAATAACTGGATGGCCTACCTGCCTGTCAGCCTTCCATCGGGGCACAAACTTATCTCGTGCCCTCATTGGTCATGTGCGCGTTCGTGTGTGTTGGAGGAGGGGCTCTATAAGGAAGTGGCAGATTTTCTCCGGTTGTGTATTTTCAAATTCTAGCGATCTCGAGCCGGTTTCTCAAACTTACCTACCCTACCTTTAAGTATTTTTACCATTTTAGTTATATCAGTGCCTAAAATATCAATATTACAATATATTTTAATATTACAATAAACATAAATGGTGTGATAGTCTCTCCAATTGAATAACAAGCTGCATGTAGGTTTTATTATGTGGAACCACAGAGTGTAAATGGCATCATGCTGCACAACTCCTGTAATTAGACTTTTAAATGTGACATTAGCCCAGTTAGAGCACACTTTGTCCTTTGCACCTGCATGTGGTTTCACATTAACTTGGAAGGAAGCTGCCTCCTGGCTGTGCCCAATAGCTGACTCTGACATTTAAATACATCTTCTCAAATGCTATGCAAGCCATGAGGAGGAAAGTGGCTTTTTATTGTGGGGGGGGGGGGGGGGGGGAATCTAACAGAAAGGAAAAACAGAGATGAAGAAAAACAGGGAAAGAAACAGTTTGGTTATGGAGAGAATTACATTTGTTTTTCCTTTTGGTGTTTAGCAAAGTCTTCTTCCATTCTAATCAACCCTGCATTTTGCATGCTAGTGTGTGCTCTCAGTTGGAAAAGAGAGATATAAACGGTAACGGGCTTCTTATGTCACTTGGAGGTTTAAGAAGAAAGATGTTCTACACTTTCTCCAGGATGCATGTTCCTGAGGAGATGTTCTCCATCAAGACTAAGTTTAAGTACAATGTTTGTGGTGTGAAATATGACTTTTTCTGCCATCTTAATTATCTTAAAGTTTGACTGAATGATTAAAATGGGAAAAATGTAAGCCATTTGAAATCAAATCATTCGAATGATTTATTTCATTTGCTTAAATATAATACTTAGAAGTCAGAGAACACATACATTGTTAACAATATCTTAACAGCCATCATTTATATATCTAGAGAAATTCAATATTTCCGTCCAGCCTGTCCTTGTGACTCTTATCTTCCTAGGTGCAGACTGAGAGGTTATTTATAGCCCCGCGCAGTCCAGAGAGCCTCCAGTTTCCCCGGTGCCTCACACATCAGCTCAGGGTTTAATTGAGGTCAGTGTGTGTGTGTGTGTGTGTGTGTGTGTGTGTGTGTGTGTGTGTGTGTGTGTGTCCAGTACAGATGTGCCTCCTGTGTTTGTGTGTGAAAGGGAGAGTTTTCTCTCTGTCCTCATGAATGTTGCATTTTCTTTCAGAATTGGCCACAAACACTCGTGTCATGCATGGCTGCACACATTTCTGCACATACTCACACTTTGTCTCCAGCTGTGCCACATATGCCCATCTCTCCTCATCTATTGTATAATACATGAATATAGCCTTCATATGCAACACTGCAACCGGTATATGAGTTATAGAACATATAGAGGTTCATGTAAAGGGCGGGTGAAGATAAACAGCCTCATAGCAAAAGGGACATTCAATATGTGTTGTTGTCGTTACCCAGCTGTTATAACACTTTACCCAAAGGTCCAAACAAAAAAGAAACCAAAATGACCATTTCTGCAGCTTTTCCTATAAATAAAAATACATGAAACACTGTTTTTGTTTTCTAAAGTTGGACTTTTTGCAAGATGTGTAGTAACGTACAAAGAGTCTTAAGCCATGTGAGAAGATTTGAGAGGCTGAGCTTTGAGATAAATGCTAACATCAGCATGCTAACACAAGCTCACACTGAAGTGCTCTCGTAATTTTTCTAACAATGTTAACCAATTATCTAATGTTGCAGTGTGAGTTTTTGATTGTACTACCATCACTTATCCTCTGCTGCAAACCACTCTTTTTCCCCTTTGACCCATGAGGTTTACAGGAACACTTTAATTAACAGCCCTTATCTGTCTCCTGTGTTAATTATGTGTGTCAAGTCAAGTCAATTACACTATGTGCCATCAATTAACTTATTCTGAACTAAAAGCTCAGTTAATATTGAGAACAGCCGCTAAAAGTTAGATATCGTTTAACCTCTCTTCTTGCATATATTTTCCAGTCATTGCACATCATAACTCATGCAACACATGACCTGATTTATGAGGTTTCTTTGTCAATTATAATACACTTCATTTTGTATTCACCCCAAGTGACATTTCACACAGTGATAACAGCTGCGTGTAGAGGTAAGAAGCTATGAACATAAACAACAACCTGGGAAACTTAAGGAAAGTTACATAAAATACAAATAAAAGGAGTAAAAAAAGAGATGATTGAGATGTCAGCCCAATCAGGAGCACACAAGTTGTGCAGCATATGTCGAATGTTTTAGTGATTGTGATACAAAGTGCTTCCTACTTGTAAATGTTCAGCACCGCAGACAGCTCCTGTCGATCTTCAGCACCAAGGACAGCGACCGAGTTCAGAGGTCACATGATCACACCTTCATTTGGCTCCTGAAGCACATCTGCCGTACATCTGGTGATCCACTAAATCACAGGGGGAAGAGGCAGGGGAGAGTTATTCACTGCGGTCACTCTCTCCAGAGATGAACTCACACACAGCTTCATCATCTCCTCGTCACTATCAGCCTGGTCACCATCGTTGTACTGTAAGTCTGTGTGAAACAGAGCAGTGAGGGTTCTTGGTTGGGGAATGATATAAAAAAATGCAGACAGATTATATCACGCTTGTCGCTTACGTGCTTAACATTATTTACCTCGTGTTCACTCATCTGTTTTCTCCCTGCTTTCTAAACTACAGCGCCTCAGCTACTGGATATCAATCTTAACTTATTAAATGTCGACCTGCTCTACTGTCGTTTTGTAATTAGGTGCAGGATTTGAATCACTTTTACACGATACTGTAATGTACTGTATAATAATTCATCTGTTTCGTTTCAGTTTGAACACCAGGTGTCACAATTGTCCATAGCGCATCATTTTGGCTGCTGATCTGCTTGCTGTCTCAGGGATTTCAAGGATACAAGTTTTTACAAGAGACTCAAAATACTGAATGTACCAGATAAGATAAGAAATGCGCCCTATTTGTTTGTTCCCTCTTTTTCTCTCTTTCTAGCTCAGACAGACAAATAGACATGCATATTTAAATGAACATAATCCTCGCTTCACTGTCCTGACCTTTGTACTGACTTCCCAGAAACACTGTGTGATGTAACACCCTGTAATATTTAAACATGCTGACGTGTCTCAGAGCTCTTTTTCTTCCCTGCGAGTCACAAAAAACTGTCAGCTAGTGTGTGTTAAACAAACTCGAATGAACTGGACAGATGTTCCAGCCCTCAGGGACCGAGCTGTAAATATGCGTGATAATGACTGGAGGGGCGGGGGGAAACTGACATGATTCATGCAATCTTTGTATTTGCCCATGGTGGAGTTTTCTGCCTGCAGGATGCTTTCTTTCTCTTTGTAAATCTCTTTATGATCTTGTTTACCCTTCAGCGACGATGATTACTTACCGGGAGTTATTACTTCAGAGTGTTGCTATAAAAAAGAAGCAGGAAATCTGTTGGTGCTTACAAATGTACTTCTCAGTCTCAAACACACTCAGGCATGGACACACACACGCAGGCTCCCGTAAGGATTTACATTTTTCTGCAGTTACTTTACAAAGGATTAAGAGTTTAGTGAACTTTCAGGACTTTCTTGCACTTACTGAGCAGGCTTCACTATACAAACATGCCAAGGATAGAATATCCATAGTCCGCCTTGGTGTCCTGACTAAGACGTGACGTCATTCTGGAGGGAAAAGGGGGGCCTGTTGAGATTCCCTCACTATCTGCTGAGGATGTGAGAGGCTGTGGCTGCTGCTGCACCACCCACTTCATTTCCCCCACATTCAACAGGAAGACTGGAGGCCAAGCAGAGCAGCAGCACTCTGCAGGAGAGGAAGGACGTGGAGGTCCAGCTGTACCGTCAGAACAAAGGAAAACAACCAAGGCAAGGGAATGAGCAAGAATCCGAAAGACGTGAAGAAAATCCAGACAGTTTATCTGCAGAACTTGGAGAAACTCAACCAGGGGTTAAAGCCAGAGAAGAAAAGTTGGAAACCAAAGGAAGGAGACTTCCCTGCAGCGATGGAAAAGCTGCGGCAGCCTCCCCTCGCTGGGAAAGTCACCAAAAGCTCAGCACACAGAATCAGCAGAGATCTCACCTGCTCCATCTGCTTGGATCTCTTCAAGCAGCCGGTGTCCCTGCCCTGTGATCACACCTTCTGCCAGGGCTGCATCGAGGGCTACTGGACCGGGCCCCGGGTCCCCCTTCATGGAGGGACCGGCTCCTGCCCCCAGTGCAGGAAGCTGTTCCCCGGGCAGAGCTACAGGCCCAACCGCATCGTGGCCAACATCGTGGAGAGCTACTGCCAGGGTCTGGAGGAGAGCGGGAGCGAACCCCGCCTGGCGGAGGTCAGGGGGGTGGAGAGGGTCCCTGCTCCGGCTCCGGTACCCCACTGCAGCAGACACAGAGAGGAGCTGAAGCTTTACTGTGAGGAGGACCAGGAGCTGGTGTGTCTGGTGTGTGGGGTCTCCCAGGAGCACAGGAACCACACCATGGTGTGTGTGCAGGAGGCCGAGCAGAAGTACAGGGTGAGTTCAGCCAACAGGAGAAAATATATTGTTTTAATACACTGATCAATATTGATTGTTTGGGCTTTTCGTGCTTTCATAATGCACTGTTTGAAGGAAAATATCCAAAATACACATTTATTGATTTTAGTACCCTCTAAAATCAAGATCTCACAAGTTCTCTGTTACACATGTTGCTGCAAGTCAGGCTGTTTGCATATTTTTCTTAGTGCATAATACAATACATGTGGTCTTCAGTCTGTAATAGTGTCAATTTCTTCTTCTTCTTTCTTCTCTACACACTGACTTTGATTTAGTTTCCAAAAGATCGTTTTTTTAGGAAGCAAGTGCACATTATTCAGCATATCAGGAGTTTATTTCAGGTAAATCACTGCTGTGGCTGTTTGGTTACAGTGTACGTGAGCAAATACCTTAAATGCAACATTGCATATAGTTTTATATATAGGTATATGAGTTCTTAATCTGTTCTTATCTAGTTTTTTGCTTCAGATCAACTATACATAGGGGGACATTGTACTTGAAGGGAGATGCGGGTCAGTGTGCAGTGATGTTGTGTCTCTGTCCTGTCAGGCGTCTCTAAACAGCTCCATGGACTCACTGAAGGTGGAGCTCAACACGGCGCTGCAGTGTGACAGAGAGGTAGAGGACGAGGTTACAAAGCTGAAGGTGAGAGGAAACACTTCCAAAAAACACATAGATGCCACAAAGCACACAATACAATCATTACTGGACTAAAATATCCACTTTGACCTATTTAATCTCTTAAGGGTCACCTATTATGCAAAATTCACTTTTTCATGTGTTTCATAAACATGTGTCCCCTCTGTGTAAAGAGACTCTGAACGTTTCAGGAAAATTGACCCACTCTCTTTTTGTCCTGATCCATTTATATAAAAACCTGTCTGAAAATGAGCTGATCAGATTTTGGCCACTTTGTGATGTCATAACGTTTTTTGGCTTGTGTAACCATTAGCCAATCACCAACCAAGGTAACCCCCCCCCCACCTTATCACCTGAATCTCCTCCTAGAGCACCATTGTGTTCTTTGTAACCAAATATCTCTCAGAGGGGCGTGGGGAGTGGCTCCTTATTTTCATCTAAAGTAACAGACAGAGAATCAGCACTTTTGAAACAGGGCTGAAACAGAGGGGATTATGGGATGCTACAATGATCTGTTTGGTGTTTGGAGCCAAACACTTCTGAGACATGTTTTGTGTATATCTGAGACCTATAATATATTGTTGAAAAAGAGAATAATAGGGGACCTTTAAAATCGGCTTTTTGCCAGAAAGCAATCTGTCTAATAACATAGATTGTAGCAGCTAATAACAAAATGTCATCTTTGTGAAAACACTGTATGCTCCTACTGACATTATCCATGAACCAGGACCACACGGCTGACCTGAAGCAGCGCATCGAGGCCCAGTTCAGCGACCTGCACCAGTTCCTGTACCAGGAGGAGAAGCTGCTGCAGGTGAAGCTGAAGACGGAGGAGCGCAGGGAGCTGATCCGCCTGGACGAGCACAAGGCGCTGCTCTGTGTGGAGATCTCCCGTCTGCAGGGGGCCCTCCACGAGATCGAGGACAAGCTGAGGGAGCAGGATGCCTTCACCCTGCTGCGGGTAAGATCCGCTGAAACCAACCTCATACACGTTCAAAACAATCCATCTGGAAATGATAAACAGCATGATGAGTCAGCTCTGGGGGTAATTAGAGCAAGAAATGCTGAGCTCATGATTTTAAATCCATTGGTTTCCAGACTCATTTGTATGCTATGAAACAGTAATATGGGGTAAAAGTTCATTTTCATGATCTGGGCTGTATTTCGGTGCCTCAATGGCTCCAACATCAACATTTAAACACTTAACTGAGCAGGGTGTGACCATTCTGGCTTTCCTGTGTAAGTTTGAACACTATTATTAAAAAGGCCATAAACATGTTGATCATGTCACTTTGCATTATTTTTGAAGACTATCGTACATACATACTGGTATAAATGTTAACACAGCTGCTACTTCTCTTGTAACAAAAGACTTGCACAGAGTGGAGACAGGATGTAGACCGTGATCTCACTTGTTGATCTGGAGGATAAGGAGTTTAGCTCAGGCACGGGGCCATACAGCGGGACTTTCCCCGGCCACAGGGAGATCCCACAGGGTGGGATAGCGTGAGCTCAGGCATTGATGTAATGTGGAAAAAGCTTTCTGCTTCTCAGATACTAATCACAGTTTGTGTCTGTCTTGTGTTTATTCCTGTGTCTCGATTCAGAGCATCAAAGCCCTGCTCCAGAGGTGAGTGAGAGAAGCGTCTACATGTTTTATTCTGCATAGATTTTGTTTTTATCTCCGTCTTCACTGTTCTGACTTTTTGCTTATGTTGGAAGGCCTTCACTGAAGTTTGAAAAACCAACATTCACACGGCCCAGTCTGTGTGAGGGTCGTTTTGCGGGGCCCCTCCAGTACAGAGTGTGGAAATCCATGAAAGGAAGCCTTTATCCAGGTACTAAAGGAATACATGAAAATGAGCATTTTTATATCTATTACTCACGCCGTGGTACCATGAATTCTTGAAGAAACCTTCTTGTCACATCTCCAGTGTGAACAATTAACAAATAACTGAGAAAACTATTGATGAATTGAAGAAAATGTAGATCTATAACTAAACATACATTTTCTCACAATCAAACTCGCAGTTTAATCAAAGTCTCATGTATACAGTCGAACAGTATGCTCCTAAACACTGAACTTTACCAAAAGTGTTCAATAGTAAGGTTTTAGTTAAAATGCATGTCTAAAAAAAAAAGCGATCATATCATTGGATGAATTAGACTTGGATTAAATTGCACGAGTTGTGTGAGTTTGTGTTAA